AAAAAAAAATCGGCGTTATTTTAGCAAGTCGAAATTTTGAGAAACCTAACTTAAACTTTTCAGAAATAAGCTAATCATTTCAATTTCAATCAATTTGTTTTTTGTTTTTTTTGCTTCATTAATTATTTGTTATTTCAGCTACTAAACAAGCGGTTCCCATTTCAGGTATTTCAGAAGTGGTGGTGGGGGTGTAAGTTTCTTTAAAGGCGGACTCCCCCATATGTACCTCACAGTGGTTTGATCCACTGCCTGCCATTCCCTAACTCCTTAAGTTTGCAAACTGTAAACAAAGGTTGTGTGACACGCAGTAAAATTAAACGTAGCTACCGTTGGAACCACACAACATTTTACTAGCTTCGTTACGTCACCGATAGGTCCTGCGCTTTAATGTAGATACTTCATTAGTATGGGACTATGTATTTGTGGAAAGAGGCAGGCACATTAAAATTTGTTATAAGTTATTGAATTTAGATTCTTTTTTTGGGGGGTGGGGGGGGTGATATTTTGATAAATCTGATATCAAACAATTACAACATTATTTAACTTCCATCCAACCCGACCCTGTCCCAGTAGTCATAGGTAAGATGTGCATGTCATAGCCACCCCTATGGTGGATGTGACATGCGTGTTTAGACTGCGGGAGCTCACACAGACTCGAGGAGAATGTGCAAACTTCACACAGTCAGGCCTCAGCTGAAACCCAGAATCTTCTGCACTATTCCATTTAATTCAATCTAAAGGAATTTCCCAATTATTTTAACAGTTTCACATTTCAAATGCTCTCAAAATACCAAGATTTTGTTTAACTAAAAAAAAAAAATTATGTAAAATGCATTTTAAAATGATTAATTAGTTCCTACTTTGTGAAAGTCCAAAACGTGAATGAGATTCCTCCCCCCCCCCAGCAATGGAAAACATTTCCAAGACTTCATTTGTTGGCGTGGGACACTGAAAGGCCTCATTTGTGCCTGCAGATAAAACATGTCACTGATTTTGTGATGAACATCCTCAAAGCTTTTCCCCGAGGATTAACCGGATCCTGCCAAATGTATATGTGGGTGTGGTGGGCTCATCATTGTAAAAACCTACAGAGGGATCTGAAAGCACATGGAGTTAAGTAAACGCAGACAAGCCCCAGTGAAATGGCTCCACGCTCTAGAACTGCTGGGTAAACTACATCAATCTGAATCCATATGTCAGAATGCAGCAGGCTGCAGACTGATGTATCACAGCAGCCTGTGTGAAAAGGAAAGGTGGGGGAAAAAAAGCCAAAAAAAAAGAAAAGCATAAATAACCCGTAAGGATATATTTTCACCGGCAGGTCAAAAGTAGCCTGCTTTTCTTTGTTGGCCCCTGGTGGTGACTTTCTATACAAGCTACTACCATTACCCCCAATTACAGCACCAACACTGAACTCTGGAGACACCTTTTTTTTAAAAATGTTTTATTCCCCCCCCAAAAAGGTTACACAACATTCAGAATCCTTTTAACTCAACATTTGTTAATGTTTCATTATTACAAAAGGTAGATGCCCACTGTGACACGGTGCTACCACAGTAGCACACCATTATGCAGGTCTTTAGGAAAACAACGCCAAAGGGCAGCATTTTTGTCATACTAAAAATCAAATAGAGATTAAAAATATATAGCCATCTATTTTAAGGAACAGATTGTTGTACAAGATTCACGCTCTCACACTGCTATAGCGAGCCACAGGAGAAGTACAAATCCACAAAGTGAGGACCACACTAGCAGACAGAACGTCCCCTTTGGAATAATCATACTTTCGCACAGCCCATCGAAGGAAACCGTACGCAGCCTATGCAAAAGAATGCTGGTGTTTAAATTTACAAAAGACAATATCTCTCAAGTTAATTGCATTTTGGTTTAAAACGTACATGTCACACACTTCTAACAAGTTTTTGATCTCAATTTCAGAAATGTGCACGTGTGCAATATGGATAAGTATGTTTGAGAACAGCACGTCTTCACTAAGGTACTGGAGTTTTCCTTTTATTTGTGCTGCGTTTAAACGTGTAAAATTGTACAGGATCCATCTCAGAGGGTGGAAGGTGCTCGTTTGCTCCATTCTCTGAACACTGGTAGCGAGCGCACCTGCTTTTAACAAGAAGACCAGACAGCATGGATTTGAGGAGAACCAATTCAAGAAATCAAGGCACATCTATTCACATAAGGCTGATCCTTCATTTTATCAACACTTTTACCCATTCAACCGCGAGCCCTAAATGTAGACAAAACAACAACAATAAAACCCCCAGAAGTCCTAAAAACAGAGGGATTGTGTAAAGGTCATCTGAACTGCCATCTCTTTGCACGGAGTGTTTCAAACATTTGGGAAAACTTTGGTTTTTGCACAAATGTGGGGATGGACAGCCATCTAGCTCATCCAGAGGAAGAAGTCAGTTACAGTAGCTTAGCATAAAATTCACAATCAGAAACATGGCTGCCTGGTTTTACCTCTGCACAAGCACACCTTGATTTCATACACTTTGGCTTTCTGTATTCATGAACTTTAGAGGTATTAGGAGGCAGGTTCCTTTCTAACCGGTGGAAAGAGTAAAGCTAACCTCTTGTCTAGTTTTTATCCTAAGCTAACCGGCTGCTGGCTTTAAACTGAGAGGACAGAGCAGATCTTACATGAGCCTCGGCAAGAAAGCAAATTCCCAAAATATCAAACTACCACTTTAATCAGAGTTTGTGGGTAAAATTGATCAATTCATTAAAGGATTTGCATTTAAAAAAAAAAAAAGCTTCCTGCTTATCTTTTGCAAAGCATTCATCGGCTGATAAGAGCAGTATAAAGAATGTGAGTAAAACGGCAGTTGTTTTGATCCCATAGCTGCCCCACTTTACAAAGCCAACATGTCCACTGTGCTGGGATACAACAATCATACGCTGGAATACAAAAGGCCATGTAGAGTTTCCAAACGCGTTTACTGCAGCAACAGCTGTTTGACACATCTGTCAAACAGTGCAAAAGTGCGTGTTTCAATGATGTGAAATAACCAAGAAGAAGGAAAACGATTTAACAAAGACAAATGGAATGTGGGAGGTTTTTTTTTTCCGTTTTTGCATTATTTTCATTTACAGTTCTCAAAGTTCGAAAAGCAGCGAGAATAGCATTAAAGAGGGAAGAAAGCTCCTGTAGTTTCTCTGTAAATTTGACATGTCCTGTCAAATGTAGCCGAAAAGGAATGATTAGTGCTCTTCCAGCCAAGATGGACTGTCCTCGCCTGGCATTTTCAACTTGATGTGGAACTGCTTGAGTGTCTGTTCCAGCTGCTGTTGATTTCCAGCATAGTATGCAGCGATGGCATTGTGGAACAGGATGAGCTGATTATGCAGAACTTTCACCTGAGACAACAGGAGCAAAAAAGCGACACAATTAGCTGAAAGTTAACACGTGGGCAGTGATATGTAGAGCGAGCTAGCATCTAACCAACCTTGTTCTCCTCCAGGAACTTCAGCTTAACGGAGACGTCGTTTCGCATCCTCTCGTATTTCTCGCGGTAGGTCTGGAACTGCTGCTGAGACACCTCGATCTTCGGCACGGTGTTGGCGTCACGCGGCCCCAGATTCAGCTCCTCCAGATCTGTACGGTATGCATCATACTCAACCCTAGGAGTGTTTAAATATATAAACCACATCAGAAAAACGCAAACTGCGTCAACTGAATCAACAATAATTTTTGTACAAAAAAAAAAAGAAAAAGTTTTACATTAGTGCATCGTAAATGTATTATTAAATATTGCCCTGATGTAAAAGCTGTCCTTGAGTCTGTTTGTCCGCAACCTCAACAACCTGAATCTCCGGCAGCAGCTTAAACACAATTCAATTTGTCCACAATTAAAACTGTCCATTTTAATTAAAATGGTAATTCATCAAATTAAACACAACAACTTATGTCTGAACTTTAGAGAAAGACGTTTCCGTGGGCGTCCAGCCAAAGCCTTGTGTCTCACAATTAAATAAAAGTCTGTTTGGTGCAGAAGTAGAACTAAGCCTGTGTGCACATTACCTTGCAGCTTCATACTGTTTGATATTGATCATGGTGTCTTCGATTGTTTTGTCCACGAGCGTGTTCACACTGGAGATGAAGAAGTTGATGGCAGCCAGCAGCGTCTCTCCGTTTTTGGACAACAGCTTTTGGGTTTCAGCGTTGTATCCAAACTCCTCCTGAAAAGAACAGGCACAATTATTTGTGTTTATTGCACCAAATTAAAATTTAAACACACGGGTTTAAGCTGTGACCTTCCACAAATTTAATTGACTAACACACAAACTTATTTTGAAAAATGCAGACTTAAGGCATCGTGAAAGTTCAATTAACTTAATTAAAGTTCAGCATTACACAATGCAATAAAGAGCTCTGATTTCACTTTTTCCAAACCGCAGCCTCTAAAGATGAATTATCACCACCATAACTAAATACTACAAGCTTCACGCATTCACCAACTTAGGTTTCCACGCCGCCCACGTAGCGGTGCGGCAATAACCCTCAGCCTTTTAGGGCTGAGGGGTAAAAGCTAAATTCAGCTGTGGCAAACTGCTGGCAAACAACCAACTTCTTTGCTACCGATTTCAACCAGTGACTGAAAGCAACCTGAAAAAACAAGCACTGGTTTCAGTCGAGGGAATACACATTGTTCCCTAGCAACCAGTGTATCACATCCAATAATGGTGGACAACTCTTAACCTCCTAGGACAGGGGTGTCAAACTCAAATACACAGTGGGCCAAAATTCAAAACTGGAACAAAGTCGCGGGATAATGTTAATATTTATTGAAATATATTTATTCCTCCAGATATAAGAATGAATCTTTTCTTATGGACTCAAACACGTTTTGCTGAAAAGCTGAATATGGAACAAGCAAAGCTTAATACTAAACAATATATATATTAGCTGTATAAAAACCAGTAGGCCAGCTCTAACAGTTATTTGGTATGGCTTCGCGGGCCAAATGTAATTAGGCTGCCCAAATTTGGCCCGCGGGCCAGAGTTTGACACCTATGTCCTAGGACCTGGCATCCACATATTTGGACACCACATTTTGGGTTATTTAGATCAAAATACTCAATTTTGCTCTACAAGCACCTGATATCCACTTATGAGGACATTATACTGCTACTGTTCTATCGAAATTTTAAACAAATATCCTCACATGTGGCTCTCATTTTTCTTAGAAACAAAAATATAGCTTTAAAAAAAAATAAAAAATAAAAAATCTGGTAATTCTTTGTTTTTACTTTCATCTGGTCCCAATATGCCCAAATATCGAAGAGAAACTAAAAATGCATGCCGTGGAAGAGTTTGGGTCTTAGGAGGTTAACTAATGTGTGCATGCTGTCACATAAGATACCTCTAAACACTAGAAAGTAAAACAACAAATATGACCTAAAAGAATATCACAATTTGTATAATAACTGGGGTTCTGAACCTCTCTTTGTTAACTCAGTCTCTAATGCAGCGGGCATTTGATGTGTTTTTGTACTTCTGCACAAAAGGACATAAGAGGATAATGGCTGATCAAGGTCTATAGAAAATAAATGAATGAATGAATGAATGAATAAATAAATATTTCAAGAAAGCAACAGTACTGCTGTAGAAAACCTTTACTGCCCACTGCTACTGTTTACTTCTAACTGGATCTCTAATCATCAGAGCTTCAAACTTCATACAAAAAATGGCATGAAAATTAAAGGCTACTCAGTTCATATCAGGTCTGACGCTGTCCCGTAGCGTTCTGAAAGAGACCAGATCAAAGTGAAATGGGATCCAATCTTGCCGATCAAGTTTTCTGATCAGTGTTTTGTAAGCTGCAGATTCAAC